TCAACTGAAACCTTTACCATGTTGTCAGGCCTGTTTTCATTCTTCCATGTTATCATCTAATCTTTGTGCACATGCAAATACATTTTACAGTTAGAATCAGTACTCGGTATTTTGTTAACTATATCTTTCAATTAATAGTATGTGCTTATCGTTTCCATATTATAAAATCCTTGATATTGCCTAGTATTCCCTGATTTCCTTAAGTCTCATATTTAGCCTTAGTGATGAACATTGGAGACTTTTCCTTTATCTTCCTGTTACTAAATACATTTTTTTTCCAGCTTTTCACATGGTTTCCTTGGTATAGATTTGCAGGATAGAAAATAAAGATCAAGCATATGAACCTTTTTATGGCTCTTATTTAATTACTGTACAAAAATGATGGGTCATTTACATTGCCGTAGGAATCCTGAGTGTATCACATTTATGAGGACCTCGCCATAATTTACTTTTAGCTTTAATATTTTTTCCTATATCAATTAGTATCATTATTAATTATCAGTGGGGTTGAACATTATTCTATGTGTTTATTCTGCAGGATGACATGAATTGTCTATTTGTCCATTCACATTCTTATCCCATTCTTCTATTTCCTTCCATTTTTTAAAAGGTCTTTTTAATTGGCTGCTTAAGCCATGAACATAAATCTCTTAACCTGACCTAAATGCAAAAAGGCAATAAAAGCAAAATCAGCACAAACTTGCCATGTTGCCTTAGAGAACTGGGCTGTCACCAGAAGCACATTAACAGAAGAAAAATCCCTTCAAGGGAAATATCGTCTGCTTAACTTCGTCAGTCGTTAGAGCCAAAAAAAAAGAAAATGTATCACTGTGGATTCAAGGGCCATGCTTCATTAGGAAGTTGTAAATTTTACTTTTAAATGACCAAGTAACTTTTCAACAGACACAGTGATTGGTCGTTAATGATGAAACAGGTAAAGTGTAATCAGGCATCCAACTAAGGAGCAGGGGAAAGCCATGCACTCATTAAACATGACCAACCTGCTTTACACACTGCTCACTGCTCACAGAAGAATAAAGGTTATGACCATCTGGCTCCTGCATTTTCCTAAGTATTGGGTGAGGGACGCGCCCTGTGTTACTTGACGTCACAGAGAAGAGCGACCCCACGGAGCACCCAGTGTTCGGGCGCCTGGGCCGTCCTGAGGTCCATGGTGGCGATGTAGTTTAGGTCCGTTCGGACTGGCTTCTTGTAGATGGGGCAGGAGTAAAACCGAGGATCTCCTAGAGCTAAAAAAAATAATCACAGACACACACACACACACAAAGAAAAAAAAAATTGGTGAGTTTTTAATTTAAGCGGCCGCAACAGCTCAAGGCCAAGTGTGTACATTCTGAAAGTCGTACCAAAGAGGGGTGGGTTTGGTAAAATGAGGGAAATTCTTCCTGAGGTCAGCCAACCTCTAGATATGAAGCAGACGCTGCTGGACGTTTCCAGTGGGTATGACAAGACACCCAGACGTCTTCTGGTTTACCCCGCGGGCCTCTTGTCACGTGTCTTTGCCCACGTGACATGCCCATGAACCTCTCATTGCTTCCTCCCTGTCTTTTCCACCCGTCAATTCAACATTCTCCCTCCACCCTTTCGCCTTTGCTTCCCCACCAAATCTTGTGCTCTCACACCCTCTCTGTTCTTCCCTTATGATTTGCCTTTGGCACAGGCATCTGTCCCTTTTAACCAGACATCCAGCATCAGTGCTTACTATTATTTCACTATTCTGATTGTTTCAAAATCCTCTCTTCAACCTTCTGTGCCATAGTCCAAACCACATTTCAAATCACAAGACAGAGGATGTTCCCCGCCCCACTGCGAGTTCTCCACGTGTGCAGAGGAATACGAATGGCTGGGAAGCAGACAGTCTTGGCAGAGCTCAGTCTACCTTTTTGGAGCAGATGAATAGACAGAATATCCAAAGCCTCACAGGCCATGAAAGACAACCTGTGGGCATCCATCCTTCAAGGATCCTCCTCTCTAATGTGCTCATCTCTAACCAAAGGCTCATTTTCTCTCCAGCCTTGGAAACCCTGTGATCAGGGACAGATCCATGTCTTGGGGAGTCTTAAACTTACATAATTTGGGGGAGGGGGTTCTCTAAGAAAAAGGACACAAATTTACA